CCCGTCTGCCCCCCTGCAGTCCTGACGACGACCGCAAGCCGCCGGTTATCTGTCCAAATCTGTCGGCCCGCTGTAGGTTAGAGGGGGCGTGCGACTGTGTCAGCGGGCCGCCGCTGAAACCGGTCTGTCGCCCCGTCCCATCACAACAGCTCGGCGGCCAGTCAATGGGCTCCGATCGCCCTGTTCATAAACGGACCGTATCATAGCGGCAGCGGCGGCCGCGCTCAAGGCGCGGTCGGCCCGCTGTCGAATACACTCTCGAGATAGGTCGGGATTTCACTAGGTCACTGCCGGCGTGTCTGACACATTTTTGGCCGCGCGCGCTCAATGCGCCGTCTTCGCCGCCGTGCCATTAGTCGTGTGAGGTCTCAGGACTGTCAGGTGAACTCAGTGCACGGACACACAGTTCGGCACCGGGTATATCGGGCAGTCGGACTGGCCAACACGCCGCGCATCGCATCGAACAGCGGCAGACGTGCGTGTCGATTCAAGTGTCGCGCGCTAAACTCACGTGGTCGCCACGTGCTGACGACACGTTCCGACACGTGAGTCGCCGTCGGCAGGTGTCGACGGCGGCGGCGGCGGCGGCGGCGGCGGCTCCGAACAATTGGAGGGGAGCTGAGCGGCCTCGTGCCGGCGAGACCCTGTGTTAGTCAGCCAGGGAACCTGGCCGTCCCTTCCGGACGTTTTCTCAACGAATCTGCGTGCTGTCGCTGCTCGACACGGCTTAGCACGGATAGCCAGGTGTCATGATTATAAAGCGTGGGTGGCAGGATCAAGACTCAGCAGTTACAAAGTTTGTTCCGATGTCTGAGTCCGGTCCACCGTCGCCGGCTCCGTGGGTACCGGCTGCTCCTCATGACGCATCAGTTTGCTATTCTTTCGCAATGACGTAGGTTTAGTTCTAACGTAACACAACGGCCGGTGGAGAATGTCGGTCCCAGTGCGGCCTGGACATCGGCTGACCATGACAAGGTCGGCCGTGTCCGTCCCGTTCCGGTTACCGATGACCCGGTGACCGGTCACGGCTCGCATGTCTCAGGTGAACGCCTCCCAATGGTTACAGCCGGTGACGAGTCCGGACGGCGGCGCTGCGGTCAGGGATCTCCCTACCACCGCTCTGACGGTGACCCTGCGCCGGCCTGGACAGGACATCATTCCATTCACCTGTGCGGCATGGCTCGGCGGCGCGCCTGACTGGAGCCAGTGACGTCCTAGTCACACACTCACTCACTGGCTCACACTATCAGCTGGGGCGCCGGTCTGGCTGGCGCCTGGATCGCGCCGTGATGACGTGTCGGATGACGCAGCAGCGGGGGAGGCCTCGGAGCTGTCGACGAGCCGACATCTTTATCCGCCGGTATAGTGGCCGAGCAGCTCGACTCGACCTTCTCCGCTCGACCTGCTAGACCCGGCCGACTCTCACGGGTCGGCCCGGCCGGGGCGCAATTTCGACCGGACGAGGGCGGCGACCGGTGCGTTGACTTGCTGCCTGGTAATTCGCCGGTGTTGAGTCGGCTGTTCGCTTGCTTGCGATTGCAAGGTGGCCAGGCGATTTGTTGGTTTTTGGTGACGAATTCAGGCCGATACTGCGCATTGCCAGGCGGCGTGGAAAGAAACGTTTTTAACGCCTGGTGCCGCCTTTTAGCTACTGCTGAGGCACACAGTCAAACAGAACAGTGGCACGTAAAGTACAGATCAATGAGGCGATACTATTGCCTCTCGTGACGTCAAGCGCTACCTGAAATGAGTGGCATGCATTCCGATGAGTTGACGTGGACGGGCACCAGACACTGCCCAGAGATGAGTCGGGACTTTCCATCAGGTACCCCGTACTCCTGACGCTGAGGACTGCCCGTGTGGCTCCTGACCTCCCCGCTGACCTCTTCAATCACACCAGTAACCCACTGGCGGTATCCACCGCAAGTCCCGATCGTGTGACGTTTCGCGGAGTGTCGCCACAGTCAATGCCACAGAAAGGCCGTGAACAAATTTTAGAAAGTGGCCTGTGCAGGTAGCCGACGACAGCGCGCGCGCGGCTTCATGAGAGCCTGCTGACACGGCCGACAGATTAGGCTGTGGTGGAGAGAAACACCAAAAATCGCCGAGGCGTAATTCTCGCGTGAGAAGCTCCTTAATGCCTAGTTCTTCAACTGTCACAAAGCAGCCAGCTGTGTAGTGTGTGAACTCAGTTCTCAACGAAATTCAATCTAGAAACACATTTTTGCTTCTTGCGATGTGCTCGTTTCTTTTTTTAAAGCATAAATCCATTTTACCGTCTCGTTCGCGTCCAGTTTTTGTCTAAAGCTGTCTTTATACGGTGGCCGATCGCGTCACGCGGCCGGGCTGTGACGTACCCCCTCCCCCCTAGCGGCGTTCCAACGGTCCGGAAGACGATCCGGGCAACGGAACAGCTCACACGAGACCGCCGGCTTCCCGCTAACAGTCCCAATAAAGTAAACGACGAGATAAGACCCGATGAAAGGGCACCGCACGAGCCGCGCAGTAGTCGCAGGGGCAGCGCTGACCCGGACCCTGCCCTGGTTGAGGGGACCCGCGACGGCAGGCGCCGGGCGCAGCGACATCGTGACAGCCACCGAGAGCCGGACACCAGTCGTGATTTCGGCTGGTGTCGAAGAGCTCGCCCGTCTGCACGCCTGGTGAGGCTGATGGTGTGGACGATTGCCGTTGACATCTGTGTGCACTGACGACGGCAGCTGGCCGGCACGGACACAGCCAAGGGCGAGCGACTGTGATTGCCGGCATTCCGCAGGGCTGCTGCCTTGGTGCCGCATTGTTTATTGATGCACATTACCTCTATTGCCTTGTCGCTATCAAAGCGATTATCTCTGGTTGATTCTTGCAGCATGTGCTACTAAAGCGCCGCTTGCTAGTCGCTGCACTTCTGAAAGTGTCCGGATTAGTTCATAAATCATTCAATAACTGGTTAAGACACCACGCCGCTGAGCTTCACCAGCCTACCCTAAGACTCTTCCGGCCAACTGTCATCCAAATCAGCATTAATCATCGTGCTGACGGGTCTGCGGCTATTGGTTCATAATGGACCACTATACCGCTATCGGGGCGGTGACGGGTCATGAGAGCTTCCCTCGCTCAAATACCAAAGAGCTGTTGGTATCGTTTATTTGCCGTATCACGTCCCCAGGCACGTGCTGGCTGTGATGACGAATAGTCCCTCTCTGGGACTCGGCTGGAGGCGTCGGGTCCGTCCGATACCAGCGCCTGGGGAGATGTTCCGGTCGGCGGTGTCTTTAACCGCCCCGGCGACTGACCAGTGCATGCCGCCAACACGGTGTGTGTACACAGTGACAGGACACTGTTCTGCCGCGCCCAGATGGCTCCGCGTCAGCGACACACACCGGTCCGCAGACAGACACACACACGCCGCTGTGACGTGACGTCCTACACAGATGACGCAGTCGGCGCGGTGGTCAGAAGGTCGGCCCTCTCCGCTGACGCGTCGCGCCTGCTGGCAGATGCTTATTATTGGTGCAGGGGCGGCGCGGTCTCAGAGACGACTATGATGTCATGCTCGGCACAAGGTCCACGCGCGGACGGCCGCTTTGTTCGCCGATCGGTCGCGGCTGACTGCGCGTGCAAGACGGACCGGTCGAGGTGCGCCGCCGGTGTCCCGGGTGCGCCGTTGGTGTCTCCGGCCGCGCGGAGGAGTGGACGGCGTTTACCTGCAGGTCGCGGTCGCTCCTGGCGCGGACGGTGGGCCACCACCTGCGCGCTGTCCTCGACTCCCCTTCGCGCCGGTCAGCGTGACCTCGATGACCTGAGCTGCGGCCCGGCAACAGCACGCCGGAATGTGTGTTCGGTGCGCCGCCGGCACCGGCGCGGCGCGCCGGCGGTGGCATTAGTTCTGCAGCGCGCCCGGGCAATTCTCTGTCATTCTCATGGTCGGCCTGTGTGTGCCGCGAGTCCGTTAGGGTGGGCTGGCGGCGGCTGACGGCTTCACTGCGCAATGACATCGCCCTGCAGCGCCGTCTCTGCCGCAGCCGCGCCGCCTCCGCCGCCGCCGCGCCGACACCGCCGCTCCGCCGAAATTACCGCCCTCTCCGTGGAATGGCGCAGCGCGGCAAGCGCGGCGCACAGCGCGTCTGCGCCGCTCGTTAAACACGGCCAAATGGCGCGGTCGAGACGGCTAGTGCGGCGAGAAGTGACGTACCCGCGGCATGGCGCCGCACTTGCCGCTGTGGTCCACCGACCACCGTCTTAATTGGGATGGCGGCCAGAAGACAGGCGATTTTTCCTCCCCCGCAACCGGCTTATCAGTGGTGTTTGCGGTTGAGTTTATTCCGTGATGTGTTTGTTTACTTTGTTATTTAGTGTAATTTAGTATAATCCCATGTCGGTGACATCAACCTGTTTCAAATCTCCTAAGCCGGTTGAACGGCAATGAAATGAATGGGGTGACGTTTGTTTCAATGAAAACGACAGGTATTTCTGGCATGAATCGCTTGACATTCGCCATCAGATTGACAAAGCGTGTACGAAATGCCAAAATTGGCGGCATAAAACTCAAGCACGAGTCAGGCCCGTAATCGGCTGACGTATGAGGCCATTTTTGGTGCCTGCGCCGTCACCCGTGCGCCATCCCGTGGAACTCCTCCGCACGATGTCGGAACGTTTAATGACGTCCTAGTTCGTGGAGGAGCTCTGTGTATGTGTATGCGCGTGGCGCGGGCGGCTGCCGTCTATATCAGTCGCCGTGTTTCTGTTCGCCTGTCGTGTGACTGTGAGTCACAGCGCAGTCCGCGGCACCTGTCTGAGAGCTGTAAACGGTCGCCCGGCGCCCACCTTGACAGGGGTGGTGTCGTGTGCGTCGGTGCAGTCTCCCGACCACACCGACGACGGTGGCCGTCCGTCCGTCCCCGAGTGTGGGACACGTGCCGCCGCTACCCCGCCCCAGCCTGCTGTCATGTACGCGTGTCTGTGTGAACCGACCTCTAACAGCCGCCGTCTCCGTTTTGCAGACCCGTCAGTATTTCTGTTCCTGTTTTTATCGTCACTCTCACCGGCCATGTCGGCACCGACGGCGAGACGCTCTCAGTGGAAGAACCCCTGCTCGATCGAGCACTCTCAGGCGTTCGATGGCGACGTCAACATGCAGGCGCCGCCGGACGCCGTCATCTTGAACCGCATCATCACACTCAACAATCGGGTGCGGCCCGAGGTCGACATGAAAATGGACGCATTCGTAAGTACCCCACGCGCCACCGGCGGGCTAACGGGAGTGCCACTCGATGGGGCAGGCAGCGACCAGTGCTGGGATTTCAGGGGGAAATTCCGATGTCAAAAATCTAGCCGCAGCGTTTTTGGGCGGCCAGCGCGGCAGAAGGGTGGTCCGGCTGGTGCCGCCGACCGATAACGTTTTACAATGCAGTGTTAACACCGCGCTGACATGACTTTTGGCCACCGGACGAAACGGAGCCGGTCGCCCGATTTCAGCGAACTCGAGAACGGCTGAGTAATAGCGGCTGGCCGTTAGCGATCCGCCGCACGCTACCGATACCACTGCCGGTCGTACAATAGCGCTCGAACGCTGCCGAACGGGGAGAGGGGCCATCCGCGTCATCACTTCGGCCTTTGGTGGAGACATTCTTTGTGCATCACTGGGCAAATATTACCGACCGTACTGGCGTGACCCCACTCCCAGTGGATAAACCCGAAGGCTGGTCGGCCAACGGCTCACGGCAATCAGCCACGACGACCGGTAACGCCTGAAGGCAAACGCCGCCGCCGGCGGGATTTCCGATCGAGTTCTGCTTCCCTTTCCATCCGGGAGGGAAGCGGGGCGACGCTCCCACCGATCGGGCGGACCCGATCGCGACTAGTGGTCCGCGACCGACCCGGGCCGGGCTTCCCGGGGTGACTGGTGCGGTGCGCCGCCTCCTCAGTCCTCACCTGGCCTGCGACCCGTGTCTGCGGGCGGGGCGGCGGGGCGGCGGCAGCGGCCAGTGGCCACCCCTGGCAGCCGCGCTGCACCGGCTGGCCGGCAGGGAGCGGCTGGCAGCCGGCCGGCGCGGCCCGACCTACCCCAACACTGATATCGACTGTAACAGGGCCGCCGCCGGCAGCCGAGCCGTGATCGTGCTGACCGAGCGGGCCGGCGCCGACGGGCGGCGGGCGGCGGCCCACTGACCGCCCGCCGCCCGCCGCCACCGCCCGCCGCCACCGCCCGCCGCGAGAGGCCCGCGCCGGGCGGCGGCGGCGGCTCTGCAGAACAGGGGAAGGGGACCGGCGCGGCCCCAGACTGCTTCACAGAAACGATGCAAACTGAATAAGGATGCTTCGTTTACTCTTTCTCAAGAAGCATAACTCACCTGGTGATCATTTACGAACGTTGACCGACTTATTGATGAATATTTACCGCCGGATAAACGGAGCAGTGTGTGCGTGGCGAAATCATTGCGGCCGCGCCGGTCGCTGCCGTTTGAACTCAGCGGGAGTCGGCGCCAGGTGACAGTCGGTCGGCGGCGGTCCCCCAGTCCGGTAACACCCCGGCCTGACCGTATTAATAAACCGATCTCGTACTCAAAACAAACCGCTCACTCCCGGAAAAATCTGACGCATATTGGCGTGAAGTGTCGGCGGCTGGAGGACGGCTGTAAAACAATGTCTGTCTCTGAATCTAGCTTTGCTGACTCACGGAGCTTGCTCACAACGCAATGGGTACAAAACCCAGCACATGTTTCTAAACGCTTAGCGGGATTTTGTACTGTGTTTCAGCAGCGAATCCTGCCTCTAATGGCATTTCAGTGGCGTTATCTAACGGCTCTGAAACATCGAGAGAGACGACAAGCGTCTGTGGTAGCAAATTACGAAAAATGTGACCACTTCAGTGACACCGGGACCAATTTACGTCATCACTCTGCGCTCTGATCAGCTAGGATACTAAAAAATAACATTGTTAGTGGTTAGCAAACTGTTTGGTACCAATAGTTCACAAGCAGACGTTTGCTAGTTTATTTGTTTTTTATCTGTTTGGTTATCTATCTTACTGCCGATGGGGGCACCCATAAAATTTCTCGCAAAATGAGTTTCTTCCATTCCTGCTAATTGTCAGTCTCAGCCCTTTGGGACAAGCAATTTATCGGGTCGGCAGACATCAAGCTTGATTGCACCGAACATTTCAAATAAATAGCTTTTAGGGACAAGCTCGGAACAAATCGGGGCACACACTCGCATTTAGTTCCTCTACGTCGTGAGTCTGTTCTGTTTACGATCACGTCATTGGAATGTGTTATCACTGCTTGTCTGGCCGGTTGAATGGCGTACGTCGTCGTCACGTGCTTTCAGTGCACTTGTACCCTGAAAAAAGTGAGACCAGCTTCGTCACAAGATAACGCGATGCGACATTTAGAGGCCCCGGATCTGCGGCCCACCTATATGACGGCGAGAAACTTAAACAACGGAAGACCGTCGCAGAACAAGGGCGGTTAGAGGCGCCCTGTCTGGCACGAAACTGGCGCACCCGGACGTGGGGCGCGTGGCGGAACCGTGCTCAGCGCCTGCACCTTATCGAGCGCTTCCAGTCGGCTTCAAAATCCGGCCGGTTAACTGTAGCACGGCTTTGCCGACGTAAAAGGCCAATCGCGAGGCCGTGCGGGGTCGATCATGAAGCTCATTACCTGATCATCCGGCGGCAGCCGCGCACGGGCCTGCTGAGGTGTTGCACCACCAGCGCGCGGTGATCTCGGCACCGATTCGCAGCGGCCGTTAACGACCGCGTTCCGGCACCGGCCTCTCCCGGTAAGCGGCGAGGGTGAGCTGGCGCCGGCGGGGGGCACGCTCCCCGAAACTGGCCGCCTTCCGCCGAGCGCGGCGGCGGCGGCGGCGGCCGAGCCCGCGCCGGTACCGCTCCGTCCGGGGCCGGCCCGTCTGCCCCCCGGCGGCGACTGGCCGCGAAGGCCAAACGCCTTCCCGCGATGCTGCTCTTCGCGTTTCCATGGAGCATTTGCCGCGCGGTGCCAGCCGACACGTGGGTTTTACGGAGTCTAATTGACCCGCGCCCTTGCTTTGTCTTTCGGCCGCCGCCGACCGGTGTTTCTACGAAACTTTCTACGGCTGCCCGAGGTGCGGTCGGGCGCGGCGTGGCGAGGTGGCGGTGGCTGTCCCCTGTCGGGCGGGGTTCCGGCGAGCACGCCGATCGGAAATGCTTTCGCGGGCCGTGCCGGGACGGCGCGCGACGCGTGTGGCACGCACGTCCCCGGAAATACCTCACCGACACCGCTCCGCCGCCCCCTCCGCCGCCGCCGCCGCGCGGCAGACCTTTACCCCAATCATTTCTACCGCCACCCCCGCCTCGCTGCCTTCAGATAGCGATCTCGGCGGCCTTCAATGGGTACAAATCGCCGGCTGTCTCCTCAGCGGCGGCCGCGCGCCGTTTGAACGTCTGAGGCGGCGGTGGCGGGCTCGCGGCGCGCTGCCCGGGGCGCCGGGGCAGACAGACGACTGGAAGCGGTGGTTTTCCGGCCGCGCAGGTGACCAGCGGCCTTTCAGAGAAGCTCATCACCGTGTCATCGGGGAGGAGTCGGTCAGCGCCTTCAGGGCGGTCCATATACTTGCGTCAGAACGGCGGCAGGTTGGCTCAGCGGTCTGGCCGACCTGGTACGGACGAGCTGACCTGCAGGGTGGGGTGACCAGACACGGGAAACTCCGCCGCCACGCCACCTCTCGCGCCGTTTGAGGCATTCGACATGGTCAGCTTCAGCGGAACGCAGCCTTCTGAGAAGGCCAAGATTGGAAACGTCCAACGAAGGACGGATCATCGTTAGCCTCAAAGTCGCTGCTGCATCGGTGAAAGTAGGTGTGGGTGTGTGGTGGTAAATCGGCCGGTCCTGCGGCTCTCTGGGCGCCGAGAGGTGCCTCTCGCGTGGCCCTCGCCCACCCGTCAGTCACCACTCCACAGAGAGCGGCCATGGCGGCCGGCCGGCACCGGGTGTTGGCTCGCGCGGCGCCGGCGGCCGCGGCACGGGTCGGCACCGGCCGTGTCCGTCGGCCGTCAATCACGGCGGGTTCGCTGTCTCTGCGGCCGCCGGTGCCGAATGTCTTTCAGTGCCGACTGCAGCAGGGCGGTGCCGGCCGGGCTAACAGTCACCTTGCCGCTGCGGTGACCATGATCGCAGGGAGGCTGCTGATTTACGAGGCCGCCCGCCGAGCCCGCGTTGACACATCGGCCGCCAGCACGCCTGCAGTCGGCGCTCTGCGCAGTCAGATCGGCCGGCTAATCACCGGCTAAGGCGCTCTTACCGGCCATCGCGAGCTCCTGAATCACCGGACAGCACCGGCAGATGGCCCGTGACGCCGACACCGGGAGGTCCCCACCACAGGTGCTCTACCTGGCCCGCGGGGATCCCCTCTTGCCGTCTATCGGAGGCCCGGCAGCAGCGCCGCCCCTGAGACCCAGCGCACCACACAGCCGACAATCCAGCGGAGCGTGTCACATACCGCCGGCTGCAACATTCCCACACACATTCCATGTGACGCTACCGCCGCCCGTGACGGCAGTGACGCCTGTGACGCGGGTGATGTCAGAGTGACGCCCGGGCACGCGGCGGCAGAGCCCGGCGACTGGACGGGGATGTGGGCGGGCAGGAACGTGCTCGACAGAGCGCGACTGGAAGCGTGCGGCCGCCGCTGACTCACAAGGTGACGCGGCAGGTGCGTGTCCGGTCCGATCCGCCCCGCCGGACTCTGCTCCGGACTCTGCCGGACTCCGTGTGAACTCTGCCGGAATCTGGCCGGACTCCGGGCGGCCCGGGCGCGGCCGACACTGTCGTTTGATTGGCCCGATTATGCTGCATTCGCGCCGCCAGAGTGCGGACGGCGCCATTTCATTGGTGCACCCGGAGCGTTCGCATGCAACGATGGCGAAAATTGTCGTTGATTACGGTTAAGTGTTTTATATGGGAGGATTGCGGCCAATGAGCGCAGGACGGCCGCTCGGTGCGGCCAATGAGACCGCCCAATTTGCTGGGCTCTGGGGCGCGGCACGAGCTGGTGACAGGCGGGCCGAGCCCACCGGGCGGATTAGAGCCGCTGCAATCACCAGCACACCTCCGTCGGCACGATTACGTCACCTGCAGCGACCATTTGTCTCGTCGGCGCCTTTTATTGCCGGCCTGCAGTCGTTGCGGCCACGGACAATGTGTCCTTCAATTAGAGCTGAGCATGTCACTGATATGGCGTGTCGCGACGTCCTGACAGGCGTCATCAAACCGTGTCCTGCCCACGCTCTAAGTTTGCCGCCTCGCCGCCGATCTTTTTCTAACCGCCGCCGCGGCCGCTGCTGTACCATTTCCTTCCTGTCGGTCGGCCGCCGCCTGCCGCGCCGGCTCTCCATTTGGCTATCTGGAGCTCGATGACAGCCGACAGATGACGTCATCAATGACGACACGTTACGTCGCCCGGTGACCCGGCTGACACGTCACAGCTCGGCTGTGACGGCGGTCGCGTGCGCCGCCCGCCAGTCTGCGGCCGGACCTCTGGCTGGCCTTCTATGCAATCCGTTCCGTTTGCGGCGCCGACGCCGACGCCTCGGATTCCCCGCCAGTGCGTCAGCGTGCGTCTTGAGATGACCTGGGTTCCGGAGCTGACGCGGTGTTGCGTCACCAATGTTCCGCTTTCTTCATGTCCATGTTTGCTGCGCCTACTGCATGTGGTGACATAGGTCACGCATTCGCGGTGACGCGATTTGTGACTCGCCGCGCTGAGTGACTTGCGGAAAGGGCGGGTGCTCCCTGTGCGGGCCACGACCCGCCCGTGCCTGGCACTTGTCTCGCCTGACTCTCCTATATTTCACTGTTGCCAGCGCTGTGGCCGTCAATAGGTATTCAACCCCACCCCGACCCATTCGGGCGCACCTCCACAGCCGCTCAGACAGACAGACAGACAGACGGACAGACGGATGGATCCGGCCAGACGGTCAGACACAATTTGACCGCGCCGATGGCCATCCGCTGCGCCGACGCCCTTGCAATGAATGGTGCTGCGGGATCGTCCCTGAGCCGCCTCTCTCTCTCTCTCTCTCTCTCTCTCTCTCTCTCTCTCTCTCTCTCTCTCTCTCTCTCTCTCTCTCTCTCTCTCTCTCTCCGCGGCCGGCCCGGCTCGCGTGACCCGACGTCGGTCAGAGCCGGCCGCTCTCGGCGCCACGTTCGACGGTGCTACATGATGTCACTGCCAGCGGCCGGGCCGCGCGGCGCATTCCGCTCGGCGCGGCGCCGCGGCACACCAGCGCAGGGCCGCCGCCGGCCACTTTGGCTGCAGAGGAGCGCCGCGCCGGCACCCGCCCATGGCGCACGCTAATAGTGCAGCCGTCCGACTGCTTAAAATAGTCGGCCGCTGAGAGGGCTGTGTTTTGTTGCGGGTACGGCCGGCCGCTGCGGCCCTCAGACCGGCGGAGAGCGGCGCGCCGTCTTCGGTCGGCTCGGGCCGGTCTGGGTGCGAAGCTGCTTACGGCCGCCTTCCCGGAAAGAAGCGAACGGCGTCGGGCGGCGGCGGCGGCCGGCGGCGAGTGCATTCCTGGACCGGCTCATCTGGCGGTCGCACGCCGCCCGCCCCCGCCCCGCCCCCGCCCCCGCCCGCCGTGACCCCGGGAGACACGCCCAGCCTGCGTCTGGGGCGGCGACCGAGAGGTCAGCCGCAGTTTCAGATAGGGGTGCTCGTAGACATACCGGGGACGCAGCACTGCACATTCCGTGGCCCGCTCACCACGAGCAAAAGGTGGAGATTAGTGCTCCTTTTTTGTTGTCTCGTAAAAAGTTACGCACGCGTGCAGTCTCGGCATTTCGACCCATCACGAAAGTAGCCTCGACGTTAACTGAACCAAAATAACCCGCTTGAGACGTTTGCCGAGCGTTTAGTGTTTTCTTCCCACAGTCTGCTTGCTAACCGCCGGCACGAAACGCTAACTTTCCTCGCCTGGCCGCGCCATGCCGTTGGAAAGCCGCACTCTTTCGTTTCCGTCTTTTCGGCGATTCTTTCTGTTCCGTATTTGGTCGACAGGGCGCCCTCCAGACAGCACTGACCGCTGTCCGACGCCAGTGGGGCCCGTTCGCCGTTACGGCGGCGACGACAGGCGCAGCTCGCCGCAAACGGTAATTAGCAGTTCGTGCGCGCCTCAGCCGGGCACGAGCTCAGAAAACGAGCCGCCAGCCGGATCTCGGCGAGTGCAGCTGCCCGTCTGCCGCGCCTATTGACCCGCCTATTAGGAGAGCAGTTGAACCTCCCTGCCTCTCCGGTGATAGAATCGCGCGGTGTCTGTGAGACTGGCCTCTGTCGACTGACCCACGCTGCAGTTGGTTGGGCGTGCCGCGCTCTTCCCCCCACTGCAGTGTCGGTCTCCGCGAACCCTCAGTGCAGCGGCGCCCAGCAGGCCGGGACGCTCCGGACGAGGGTGTCGATTCTCGGACGCGCCGGGCCCGCTCCGGGGAAGCTCCGTTCCCGGGAGACTGTCTCTGAGCGGCTGGGTCACGCGGTGCCGCTGAGGTCACGGCTGATGGCGCCGCGTTCAGTCGCTGCAGCGGGCCGCTCACGGGCCGCTCACGGGCCGTCAGTGTGTCCGTCACTGTGTCCTGTCCGCTGTGTATGGACTCTGTCGGTGCCCCCGTCATGTGTCCCCGCGAGCTGCAGCGCCGGCTGCCCGCCTGTGAGTCAGCCGGTAGTGGCACGAGCGGGGCGGTCGCGGCCGACGGCGCGGCGGGGTGGCGACAGGCTGTTTACCTACCTGGACCGATGAGTCAGCGTGACGGCCGCGAGCCCGCTACCGCCGCGCCGGCCGACTGAGAGTGAGAGTCGACTTTTTCGCGGTCCACTGGGCGCTAGTGATCTGGCGAGGGGAGGGGTGGGGTAAGGGGCAATGTTGACCTCGCTTCTTCATCGACGCCGTGTGTTCGGAGTTAGCCGTCGGTCGTCACGCGGTCCGTGGCCACGACCAGATCTAATCCCGACCATCCGATTAGCGCCAGCGAGACGCTCGGCACCGGCCAGTACCCAGAAGTCGTTCGGCGGCCGGCGGACGGCCGTCTCGCCGATCTCGCAGCAGTGTCTCGAGCAATCATGCCCGCACCGCGCTGCCCTCGAGCCACCTAACCACCTTCTCCGCTGTCCACAGGTGCGGTCCACTTACCACGTGGACGAGAGTGAGATGCTGCGCGACTGGGGCCACCACAACATGAGCTGGCTCGGCTTCGTGCGCGAGACCATCGCGCAGGTGGAGGCCAAGCTGGAAGCGCAGGACGACGTCGACGGGCGGCTGACCCTCGGCGACGCGCTGCGCATCCACTTCGCCGACCTGCAGCGGCTGGCCATCGGGTTCGAGCAGATGACGGTGGACGCCGCTCTGTACGGCGACCCAAACCTGGACAACTTTCGCAGCCTGCAGAACGGCCTCATGGAGGTAAGAATCGCCGCTAATTGCCGAGGGTTGGTGGGCTGAGGCGAGATAGCTCAGAGGGCTTACGACGCCTCTAGTGATTTGTTAGGTGGATGCGTGGGTGGTTGTTTGGTGGTTCGTGGAAACTGCTGATCTCATAGCTGCTAGTTGGCAGTTAGCGATTGATTTTCGGATTGTTAAACAATGTCCGATGGCAACTTCTCACATAATAGGGCCATTGTTTTCTCTCTGCGGTGTTTGCGGGCGCGTGGTCTGCTGAGCCGCGGTGATCTGACCGTCCGTCTCTCTGGCCCGTCAGTTGCTGTGCGAGCTGCAGATCTCTCTGCTGGAGAAGCGTCTGACGGCGGACAGCTCCGTCACTGCCGACATTATGGGACAGGACGTGCGCGACCTGGACAGCAGTCGCGAGCGTAACCTGCGCAACTGGGTCATCATTCGCGAGTACAAGGTGTACCTGGCGCACCTGCACAAGGTGTTCGGCTCGCTCAAGGCGCAGCAGGACGCCCTGCCGCAGTGAGGCGCCGCCGCCGGCACCGAACGAGAAAGCGGGAGGGTGGCCGCGGCCGCTGCCGCTGCCCCGAGACGGCAACCAAAGTCAGCCGCTGCTCCTTCCTGGAAGAGGAGTGGCTGCGTCCAAAGCGTGCGCAGGGCATGTGCAGCTGGGCATACTGCCCGCCGGGGCGACCGAGCCGAGAGCGGCAGCGCCAGCAGACAGAGCTAGCTGCCACGTCGCTGCCAGACGCGCTCGCCACCCGGTCGCGTTGTTGTGTTCGCCGTTCGTTGTTTCTGTCTCCTACACTCGTCTCCGGGGGGCGAATGTTGTGATATGTGCACGGCGCGGCCGCCGAAAACCTAGTATTATAACTAAGATCTGACCAACAGTACAAAGTGAGCCGCGTGCGGCGCGTGCGGGACGGCGCCGGCACGCTCAGTAGGTACACTACTAGGCGCGCTCGACGGACGGCCGCCGGGCCAGCGCGCGGTCTGCCTGCCCCGCGCGCCGGCCCGCCAACCCTGCTGTGTGTGGCTCCCGTGGCAGAGAGGCAGCTACCCCGAGTTGATGTATGATCCAGAGATGTTCCTGCTCCGACCCGTGCCCTGTGATATTGTGTATTTATTAGCGTTCCCGCGTTTCTATTCTGTTTAGTTCGCCTTAATTATTAACACCTTCACGCCCTTTTGATATAAATATATGTAGATGCCTATGTAAACATGTACACAGTTGTTTATTTGGTGACTGCTAGCTGCTATAATAGCTCACACGGAGAGCAGACTCATCATCTTCATGCGATTCAAACGACAGTCAGTGCTGGACAGTGGACAGCGCACCATTCGAAACCACGCATCGATAACTCTGCCGGACACAGTTTGAAGAGGCCGTCGCGGGATCCTCTCGACCACACAGAACACGATCATGAGCGATATTCCAGCGATGAACAGGCTGCCTGGTGACCAGCAGAAGATGCGCTGGCGATAAAGCTGTATAAAATAGCATCCGGAATGACACCTTAGCACCAAATGATGCAGTGGCATACTGCTGGTATTTCAGCCATCAGATGCTCAGCCGCATGCTGAATCACAAACGTTCAGGGATGAATATCGGCACTAAACCACACGATTTACACGTATAGGGCTGTGGCGGTTGCCGATCACTTCGAAACCGGTGGAACCGATGGAAGCGATGGAACAGATGGAATCGATGGAAATGACACCGAGGGAAACTATCAAAGCCTTCTTATCTCTGACAATGTCTCTGTGGGACCAGTTACCATTGAATGCTGGTTACTAGACCACGGAAATCTATGCTTTGAATTTCAGTTATAACGTTCATTTGCATCCCTCATTTCCCATTCATTTCCCCCATTCATTTCCCTCCCTCCTCCTCTTTCTTTTTCTCTCTCGCTCTCTCTTCTTTCACCCTCTGTCTCTCTGTCTCTGTTTCTGTCTCTCTCTCTCTAGCTTGAAAAAATCTGCTGTCTCCTGTCACGCTGTAAGACAGCGAACGTCACATGGCCCCGATATGGCAGACAATGGGCCTCGTCAAGTCGTCAGTACTGACTGTTTTCCTTGGAGTATGTTCCCCTTGCTCAGCCCCAGTGCCAGTGCTGATCTCATTGCGGTATACCCCGTGGAGGTGATACCCGCGAGGGCGCAAAGACAACACGCAAAATGTTCGGTCTGCAGCGGTCACAAAATACCAAAATGTTCAAAATACCCGATTTTGCGTTAATCCTATTAGTGGCAGGCTCCTGGCTACCCCTATTTAGTGGCAGGGGGGGGGGGGCTGTTTACGACCCCCCTTGATATCTCGAGATCTAACGGGCCGATTTTCAAAATTCAAACGGCATTCGATTTCGCTCAACGTGATCTACATTTCTAAAAAAATAAAGATTAAGAAAATGTCAATAGGGGGGTAGAGGGGGTAAAAACGGGCAAATTGCAGATACATTTTAGACTGTTTATCACGGCCAGGTTTCTGAACCAATCTTAACGCAACTTTTGCCAATCGATAGAGAATGAACCAGGAATTCACATGGATCCTAAAAATATGCATTTTCAAAAATCATAGGCGGATACAGATCATTGAGATTGGGGGTACACAAAAAGTATAGTAAGTAAGGTTTTTGTTGGTACTGTTTCTAAAAAGGGTGGTAATGGTCTTGTTATGTTACAATTTTCTTATGAGAGAACGACTACAATTGTATTGGTCATGCATAGGCGGTGTCAGGGCACCTATGTTGGGAGGTAAAACATAACCCCCCTTTTTGGACGCCTGGATCCGCCTATTATAGCAAAAACGTGTCAAAAGAGGATGTACAATAACTTTGTATATGTTATCACATGATACCTTTCATTCACTGTTCGTAAAACTGGTGCAGCATCGTGATCTTCGCCCAAATGACTCGCTTCACGAATAGGACCCCCAATTCCCAGTGCTCTGGAGCCGCCCCTGGTAAAGTTATGAACTTGAAATTTTCAGGGAATGTGCCCAATTTAGTTTTAGGAAAAGTCAGAAAATTTCAGCATCGTAGCTTTAGAGGTTTCGGAGATATTCCCGAAAAACCTGAGGGGTGGATGAAAACAACCCCCCTGCCACTAATAGGGTTAGCCAGCGATTTTTATGCGACAATTTTCTGGCGACAATTTTTCATGTAGTGGCTTAAATAAGCAGCTGCAGCCATTGTATTCCTCTAAACAAGGCGCTATATGAGATGCAAGCATAATCTGACCTTAAAAGATAGGTAGAAAAAGACATGTTCTCAGGTGAACGTCGAGGTCCTAACTTAATGGAGTCATCAGCCATCAGATGCGCGCTGATGCTGCACAGCACTTAGAGGACAACACTAAAGAACAAAGATGTAGGTAATTATGCAGGATATAAGTTTGCGGTTTTGCATGTTTGCTCAAATATGACTAATTTGTTATGCAACCATATTTCAGAAACACCTCCACTCTCCAGTCACATACCTACGCCTCGTACCAATTACATTACCGTGTAGTGTGTAGCCAAGTGTCACCGAAGGCTTCTATAGCGCCATTGGTGATTGGAACTAAGAATACTCGGTTGTCCTTTTCCAGTGCCTGGCTACCTAGTCTTTTTCCTGACTACTTGTCCTTCCGTGCACGAGCGCCAAGCTGGCAGTCGGCCAAAACATGACAACTATCAATAGATCGCGATGAAACAGTTTCGTGGCGATAAAATCGCAACTGCGCCATTGGCGTTGAACGGCATTGAGCAGATAGCTTAAACAGTGGCATACAGTGCCACCGATGGCTCCCTCTAAGCAATAACAGCGATTGCCTTTTGTCTGCCTATGGAAACTGGGAAGCTTGGTGCCTCAAACTATAGCTTGTTTCTGGCCCCACAGCTTCTGGATACAAGTTCACCATTTTCTTGCGTTAACCCTCGCATGTGTAGGGGGGGGGGGGGGTCGGATGGACCCCCCCATGATTTTTCGCGAATAACTCGCGTAAAAAGCGGCCGATCGCGACGAAACTTTCAGTACCCTCGCATTGATCAATTTTACACCTACCCTGAAAATTTCATGACCCTGACCCAAATGACCTTTGACCTGTGACCTCTTTTCCGAGACCATGTTTGGCCGGAATCGCGATTTCGCGTATGTCGGCTCGCACTAGCCGCGTGTTTGCAAGCTTTTCGTGGTTTCAAACGTTCAAACATGTGATTTGATGTTACTCCCGTGTGTGTCAAGGTCACCTGAAGGTCAGGTCAGGTCATTGACCTTTGGTGACCTCGGGTGACCTCGGGTCACTTTTTCGAGTTTTACATGTTTCTAGGCTAGTTTTTGGAGCTGAATTCGAATTTAGCAACCATTTGAACATTTACGAAGTAGTTTTGGTGACTTCGTAACATGTCACGAAGCTGTCAGAGGCGGTTGACACGTACTACGAATACCCGTCACGACGCCTACTGGTTGACCTGACCTGACCTGACCCGACCTGGTCTAAATGCTTCAAGACATCATCTGTGATCAAAACTAACACGATATTCGTGATCAGCATCCCGAAAAACCCCTTAGCAGCCACACTTTACGACTTTCTAACAGGTCCCGATTTTCCCGACTTTGGGTCATTGACCTGACCTGGAAGGTCAACCAATGACCTAGGACCTTAAAATTGGGTATCATCGGCTTCCTCTCGTCACGGGCAACACGCTCGTTTTTTCCGCGAAGCTCTAGCTCGATCAGGGGCCAAACGGCAAGGGGGGGTCCAACCGACCCCCCCCCCCCCTACACATTAGAAGCTGGCAAACGCCGCACACATGCGAGGGTTAAGGCATCTTACCATCTAGAGCACATTTCACCGTTAGAAGAATGAATTACATTTAAGCGATTGAACTCATTGTTACCCCGTCAGATGAGATATGAGACAAAATGTTTTCGATGCCACACTGCACTCAAATTAGCATGCCTTAGAAATAGGTACAAATGCTTTTCACCACATTTGGCGTTAAATCTCCACTCACAGAATCATTGCATTAGACACCGCAAATACTTTCAAGGCATGGGAATTAGGTACCCAAGTTGGTATCCACTTCGAAGGTCGGTGCTTTTAAAAGTGTTTAATACTTCTATTGCCATTACTAAGTAGTTTCTTGCACGATGCAGAGTAAATTTCAATAAATATGAAGACTGCTTTGCTATACGCGTGGCTGGTAAAATTGGATGTTGTCTTTGCCACTTCACTAGATGGCGTAAGACGTCATAAACGTAACATTTCTGCAGCTTGCAACCACTCTCCACTTGTGTGTCAAACTCGACAAAATTGCAGCATCGTGGCAGCAGGAGGGGGATTTTACTGCTCTAGACCACGACTAGACTGGGCAAGCACTGCTCAGCACAGAAACATGACACAAAAAAAGCCGCCTCACTTTCGAGAAGTGGTCACAGCAATGAAAACAGTATGTCGGTGCCAGCTGTGCCAGCGTGCCCGGCCCATCGCTCTCATTTCAGTGAAGTTCGCCTGTCAGAATGCAATCCACTCCCTTTCAGAGTAACGCCCCACATAGCCGAATCGGCTCCGGGAATCATCGATAGTTCACGACAGTGCTTCAAAGAATGACCTGCAGCCGTCGGCTGATCGGCAAGCTGTCTGACGGCATATCACCGGTGCCGGCACCCGGCTACTGTAAAGGCCGATTCACGCGGTGATCCGATCGTAATCTGCTCTGTAATGACGGTATAAACGGCACATAAACTCGGTACGGACCCGCGGCGGAGGGCCGGGTCAGTCTGGCGCGGCCGGAGTCTCGGAGAGCTGTCGGGTCCAGTTGGGCGGAGGTGCGGCTGATTAGACAGCGGCTGTCACAGGACACATGGAGCACGAACAGACGGTCACAGCTCGACTGACAGTCTAACTAACGGAGTTGTGAGCACATGCAGTTCAGCTCACAGGTGGACCACTAGCTTTAAGCTCAACTCACAGCATAACTAAGGAATCACGAGCCGATAACACGGGTCAAATCACTAACGATTCACGCGATTTGATTCATTAACCAGTGTCAAAACTCGACTTACTTTGACTAGGCCACAGCCTGCCTTAACGACCTGTGAAATCAGATTGAAGTACCGTAATTTAAATGTTAAGGTCAAATGTTCCGAAAGCCAGACGACATATTTACAGCAAATGGACACTATCAGGACATCTGGGAGCAATCTGGCATGGAAGACTCACGCGATCTTTGGCGATGTAAGCT